CAGGTATGTACATGATACACATGAAAAATACTTCTAGAAAAGTAAAAGCATATACTTTCAAAAGAGAAAATACAAATGAAAAAAAACATTTAAGATCTTTTCTAAAGACTGCATAAGAAAGGCTGTGATGAAAATGAGTATTTCTATTCATCATGCAATAGGAGTGTAGCCTTCTTGGAGAACAGTATGATTATATATAGCCATTGTCTATAAAGTGGTCAGTTTTCTTTAACACAATTAATTTAAAATAATTTATTTATAAAGAAAAATCCTAAATGCAGGCAAAGATTTTATGTGGGAATAGTTCATTTTAGTATTATTTATTAAAATATCAGGTAAAAATTTGAGGCTAGTGCTGGAGAAATAGATCAGTGGTTAAGAGCACTTTCTGCTTGGTAAAGGACCTGAGTTTTGTTCCCAGCACCCACATGGCAGCTCACATCTCTAACCCCTGTTTCGGAGGATCTGATGCCCTCTTCTGATCTCCATGGACATTGCACACAAGCAGTGAATTTACATTCATTCACATGGAAATAAAAATAAATAACAAATCTTTTTTGAAAGTTAAGGTAATGGTTTAGCAATTCAAGGAGCCTTCACCAATTAATATGTGATAGGAGTAGCTGGATGACATAATGAAAACTGGTTATATACAGCAATTGCTTATAAAATGAGTATTTTTCTTTAGCATAATTAATTTCAAACCTGTTAAATGAGGAAAATATGCAGAAAGTGATGAAAAATATATTTGTGTGCGCGTGTGCGTGTGTGTGGGGGGGTGCGTGCGTGCGTGCGGGGTGTGTGTGTGTATGTGTGTGTGTGTGTGTGTGTGTGTGTGTGGTATATGTGTTACTGAGGATTGAACCAGAGTCCTGTGCATACGAAACAGTCACTTTACCACTGAACTACATCACTACCCCTGAATGAACCTTTTAAAGGACAAATATTGGGTTTAAAAAAGAAATTTCCAAATTTCTAGGCAATTTTTTTCAAACTGTCACAAGTTGGCAATGACGATAAAAAGTGTTCTGTTGTAGTCCTTTGGCATATTTTTATGACATCTAATACATATAGTACAAAATGTGTTGTTTGATTGCTAAGTCACTGTTAAGGCTTTTCTGGACAATAGCAAGCTGCTTATAACGTAATAGACAGTTACACATGGAGAGCAGAACCCAGAGAGCCCAGTAATGGGTAGAAGAGGTGAGTGACAGTCCCCTCTCATCACATCTGAGAGCAGTGAAGCAGACAGGCTTGTCTGTCACCCCCACTCTCAGCACTGCAGTCAATAATCTGTGCACCACACAGGGGTGCAGGAGTCTCATGTGGGAACACTTGATGGTGGGACACTTTAGCACAAAGGTTTGGGGAACAGTCAAATGATTCAGTATAAGAACTGACTGTATTTGCATCAACAGGAGTGGCACTAAGGAATATGGATTAGCTCCAGCCCAACGTAAAGAACAACCCAGGAAATAGTGTGCAGTGCAGGCTGTGCGGGCTGAATAGTGGGAGGCGGGGAAGTAGGGGGTAGCAGACAAGAGTGGCACCAATTGAGCTCCAATTTAAGGTAACAGATGATAGTTGCATCCTGTGTCATCCACATCTATAGTCCTTCATACTCATCGCATTATCAAGAGTGAGCACAGACAACAGAAAGGAATGGAGTGGGGCTCACAGAGAACTCTCTAAGTCTAGGACCAGCAATGCTGGCCCTAATTCAGGTGAAGGTCCCCACTTACTATATACATCAACCTCATGGTGACCACCTCATGTGCCAACCTTCCTGTGCAGGCCAAAGTGATGGAGATTACTGACAGTCAGGGTACCACACAGCCAGGTAAGCCAGTGTCACGGGCTATGCATGGCTGGAGATTACAGACCATCACACTGCAGAACTCCCTCTCCAGACAGCCTTGAGAGGACAAGGAAAACCAGGGTGATGAAGCCTCGGGTTAGCATCCCAGAGACATAGCTACCTGCAGCTTCGATCCCTGGAGCAAAGGTGACAGAAACAGCTGCCCTGCCAGCTATGGGCTTATCCACTCCCAACGATGAAGAGAGCAAGACAGAGAAAAGAGCCAGTTACCATCTCTACCGTCGTCTACCAAGAAGAAAACAGGCAAACCCAGGATGAGGAAAGAATGGACTAAGAGACAGGGCTGGTCTTCCGTCTGCTGACAGATAACCAAAACTGCCCACTCTGTTGATGCACTGTGGGTTTTTTATTATAATCATTTTTACTTAAAGATGTTTATTCTTGGACATAATATAATAAGGCTTTGTTTTTCTCAACATGCCTTTGTATATTGTTTCTGAAATGGTCAAACTGAGTTTTTTTTTAAAGTAATTTCATTTTTAATCTTTAATGAAAGTTTAGAAGGGCTTTTGTTTTTATATTTTTAGCCTACTAACTTCAAATACCTGTTAATAAGGATGTTAATTGGGAAGTTTTTAATTGGGAAGTTTTAAAACTAAGTATGCATTTTTGGCTGTGCAGGGGTGACCTTAGACTCAGCATTGTTTAAGGATTATCTCTAGTTGAAAAGTTGAAAAATGGGTCAATCCTTTTAATTTTGCTGCTTGAAATGTGAGCCTTAAATTTTTATACATTCCCCAGGGGAAAACCTGAAACTTGGAGAAGCAGAATCATTTAAGCAAAGTTCTACAGAGTTGACAGAATCAGACTTCCTTGGGTTTGGAAGAGCTGACACCTCCCCCTAGTACTTCCTCCTAGAGGAGGTACTGTGCTTAGAGAAGCAGGAGGGCTTGGCTTTCAGCTTCATTGTTCCCTCATTAATGGCTGGCAAACATCCTCTGCATGGAATGATATCATTCTAAAACCTAACTTAGAAAATTAACTACATCTATCTACCTATCTACCTATCTACCTATCTATCTATCTATCTATCTATCTATCCATCTATCTACCTACCTAGTGTGGAGGGGTTTGAAAGAGTGT